GGCATTAGCGACTAAAATATGCCAATTTTGTGTAACGGTGAGGTGATGAAACTCTAATCAGACAAGAGAGTGGACTGTGCCAATGTTGAAATATAATTATGGCAATATTAACTTGAAGTTTATTTCGTGTTTACTCCCAATTATTGAAAGTAAGATGGTGGAAGTTTTGCATATGAGCTTACCTGAGTAACGATGTGCACTACAGACGGTTGGCATTGAAGTGTAAGAAATTTTCGACATGACATCGAGGACTGAATTGCAATGCTGTCAATGAAGAAGGAAGTTTTTCTGAAGAAACAACCACTTTTCCCCATATAATTGCATTTGGGTCTGGATGTAGATAATTTCGCATTCTAAAGAGGCATTTCTAAGAAATACTCCATTGTGTTAAATGATTCAAATGATAATAATAATAAAAATCTGCACCAAGGGATTAAATCCTCCTCTCTCTGAACTTTTTACTAGGCCATTGTAGAAAGTTGTTTCATTTCATCGAAATTCAGAATTTCTATTTTTATTTAAGATGAATTAACTCCAAGTTTCGTTGCTTAATTCTTAAATGCTCAGACCTTTTGTATCAGAGATGCAATAATAATTCCAATAGAACTTGTCAGTGTGTTAGAAAAGATTGTTGGTTGGGGACTCATGCACTTACAAGAATTCTTCTTACACATCTTCGAACCTGACATACATAAGTCCTCATGTGGATAGTTGTGACGTTGCAGTAAATATCCTGTTTATTTGAAAAACTGTCATTCTAGTGGTCATTTGGAAACGTGGTGTATATCTTAAATGCAACTTACTCCAATTTCAATGGAGTATTTTCGTAAAATGAGTTATTTTAAAACCTGTTAATCCTCATCGTAATAAACATTGCAAGCCATTTTGGCATGCAATTTCAAATGAGTTTTTTTTCTTTTGAGTTACCTTTGGACCCTGCACAGCTCCTATTTTGAAACACCTCTACTCATTTGTTTACAAGGTCGCAATGCCTATTTTGACTTTCACAGTTGAAATAGCAACAATTCACCGAATATTTTAAACCTCTAAAATAAGGGTCTACTCCACCTTCCCTACTAAGAGTCAGTAAAGGTAGCCGCAAAAAATGGAGAACGGTTGACTAATGAAAATTAATTTTACAGATGTGACAGGCAGTTAAATTACGGACAGGTTAATTTGAGGTCAGCGTTTTTTACTCCAAGAACATTTCCACTATTAAGTCCCTAACTTCGGATACCGCGTTGTCGTGATTCTATCATCACAGGCAGGTAGGTTGCCAGCACCTTCGCAGCCCGAAGGCAGGAAACTAAGTTGACATTGGATGCGTCTATTCAATAAAAATGAGGTAGTATTATGAGGGTCTGCTTTACATCATCTTAACCTATAAACAAATTGAAGTTTTTAGGACATGCTGTGTGATCTAAATTTGATTCGCTCTATCAAATTCTGATCTAGTCTGACGAGTGACAGCATTGTAAGGGTCTGTGAAAAAGATAGTTTGGTGATCAGTCGGTGGACGCGAAGTAATTAACAGTAGTTCATCTCTGAGACACATAGTTTACCCGAGATAATTCCTCAAAGTTTTTGTGCCATTACATTATTTAAGTCATTTAAACTGCCAAATACACGTGAATTAAAGATCCTATTTCGTGGTTTATATCATTCTTTTAGTTGGACATGTCCGCGCGTTCATCAGATTGAGACCTATGCTGAATACTTTCCTTGAGAATCTTAATGCTGTCACAGAGCAAATTATCATAAGCCTGTATCATTTTAATCAAAAGCAATAACTATTCAAATTCATGCTGTTTGTACAGCTTAGGTAGCATTATTTGAACAACAGTTCGACTTTCGTAGCCAAGCGTTAATATTAATTCAATTTCATGGGATAGCTGAGTCTTTGGGTCACTTAGATTCTTATCCTAATTGGAACTAATCTAAACCCCAAACAGGAGAAAAATATCGACTTAATCTGTTGAGATTATTGGCATAATGAGTTAATATATGTGCTTACTTATAAAAATTTAATACTTTATAAGGAAATTATTTTTTAGAGAGGGTGGGAAATTGGGTTCCTATTATTCTGAATTGTTACCCCACTTTCCACTCGGGAAGGTTATATTCCATTGCTTTTTCTAGAGATTTATCGTAGAGAGTTTCGCATCGTACCCGATGTAGCTGCTAATGGAGAGAATTCAATTCGTGATGTTTTAACCTATTTTGTCTAGAAATTTGCCACTGGAAGTCCTTGCTGTTTGTTGCGCCCGAGGTATAACAAACCTGTGTCTACACAACGCAAAGTAGGAGCTTGAAAACGGGAGTGGCTGCTAATTCGTCGTCCCTCCACTGAAATGCAAGCAGTTTGAAAGTGCAAAACTGTCGCTGAAGCTTTGTATATTTTGTTTCAGTTTTTGGCTTTACTGTCACTTTTATTATTTTGGTGCATCTACTATTCATGCATCTTTCATGTTTTTTGTTCAGCGTGAACATAAGCTCTGAGCCATGGTTTTGGCTCTGGTTTTTTTTCGCAATTTGAAGGTAAAATTTTAAAGAAAGTGTACATTCGGTGTTTAAGCTGACACTCAATGAAATGCATATTTATATAATCTTGTTGGATAAAATTTTGACCCATTCTGCACTAAATAGATCCCATGAGTAAAGGAAAAGATTGTGTTTGCCTCAATGAGTTAATTGAGAGATCTAGAAATCGGTGTTCATCTGCATCCGCACAGTGACGTGAACGCCAAACACATTACGCAATTCTGATTAGCAAGAAGAGTGGGAATAAAGCTCCTCGTTAGGAAAACTTCCATCTGCTTCCTCTATCACTCCCATTAATGGGCTCTTGTGAAGTTGGGATGATGATGATGATGATGATAATGATAATGAATACTCCTAACTGAACCACAGGTGCATATGCAGATTCATATATTTAAAGAATGCAGGTGGTTTTATATTGTCAATTGTTCGTACTTTTATATTGAAAATAATGCAGTAAAGACTCTATTATTTGCCTCCACTTGTTATGAGACCTTTCTATTGCCTTTTAAAATGAATAGCCTTTTGGATAAGCTTAAATTTTAATTTTTCTAAAAGAAATTTATGTTGTAATATGGAATATAACTCAAGGCCTAAATGCAAACTCGAGGGTTGAGCCCTTTAGCAGTAGCCTGAACTGAGGTACGCATTTCTAGATATAAATTCCCAAGGTGAGAAGTGAACCGAAATGTAGATAGGCTAACGGCTAAGCCGACCAATAGAATGGCTGTTCTGTTCGAAATACGTAGCCTCCTGCTACTAACGCATGTATGAACCAATGGCAATAAGGCACACCGACCACCAGATTGCATGGGAGACTAGCCTCCGCCTACACACTGTTAATGTCATGTGATGTGATCATCCTTTCGACCCTTCCCCTCCCCCCCCCTCTCTCTCTCCCTATGCGTAAACTCCCCATAGACACTAGTCTTTCCTTTTATATAATTTAACTGCAATAAGTACTTTTATCAACGCTTGGCTGCCTTGCCTTGTTGGTAGAGTTTAAAGTGACTAATTTGGTCATCCCTATGTGCTTCTGATCCATAAAGGGTATACATTTTTAGTGTTTTTAAAAACGTTAACCTGTTTTCGATAGTAAATGCCTGAGCAAACCTTTCGGTTAAAAAGAAATTTGTCTTAAATGATTGAACTAGTATTTGGCCGTGAATGTCTTTACTCCGAATTCCATGTTGCGGACAAAGATAATTAATGAACAGAAAAGTTGACGACTCATTTGATGAGGCTAGACCTTGTCTGGTCGATAAACGAGAAATTTATTTATTTATTTCAAATGGCAGGCATTATGATAGTTGTCATTAACCCTTTAGCTGTCTTCGGGCTTCACAGAGGGGGAGGAACATAAAAGTGAAAAAAGTCCAGAGAAGGGGGGGGGGAACAGAAGAGTGTTTCAAGAATGTAAAAGAGACAGACACAAAGGTCGAGAGTAGGGTATGGTGAGTACTATGAAGTGGTGGAATATGACATAGAGTGGAGTCACAATAATAGAGAGTAGGGTAAGGTGAATACTGTAGAAGTGGTCAACTATGACACACAGTGGTGAGTACTGTGAAAATGATCGAATATGACATGGAGTCAGCGAGTACTGTGGAAGTAGTCGAATATGACATACAGTGGGGCGAGTGCTGTTGAAGGGGTTGAATATGACAAGCAGTCGGGCTGATTGGTAGTTTGAAGTGAGAAGTCAACTGCCGGTTGATAGACGTAGTTTGAAGTCTTAATAGACTTGTTTGCCGTATGAGTATGCGTTGCCCAGGATGCACCAAGTGGAGGTAAGTCTATCGCACACACCACCGAAAAATATTTACACCTGAAGACGAAGGGTCCTCCTCTTTATCATAGGCATCTTCCATAGACGCGGCAAGAAGAGACCTTTCTGCATGAACTAATGTAAAATTAACTTTAAAAACGGGACCAATATTCTACGCCACGTATTACTGATAGAATTAGCCGGTTCACACTACTTCTTCCCAATTGGCTACCCCCAGACTATAAAATAAAAAGAGTGGGTCACATGAATACACTGGCTATAGCCCAACAGCTAATGAATCAGATACTGCAAGACCTGATACTTACACAATGGCAGATTAATTCAGATAAAATAATAATTCCGTCGCAGACACAGGACCAGCGCCTTTAACAGAATCCTAAAAAGTAAATGCTCATACAAACATCAATCACCATGTTGGGTCGCATTGTATCAAAAGGTGAAATAGTGGAAGTTAGGAATTGGTTAAATCTGCGTAATGGGTTGGAAGCATTTCGATTTATAAGCCATGCGTAATGCCCTACGAGGTATGTGAAGGTTTTCGCAGAAGTAGCTAAACCATTATGCACGTTACAGAACATGTTGAGTAGATTCGCGTGACCTAGATTAGCATAGATCATTGAAGGAATCTCATCGAACGACGCTATGGGGGCTTACGTACCTAGAATATGAGCCGATGGGGAAAAACATCCTTTGGTACACACCAGTAGGACTTCGTTCCGATTCAGAAAGCATCTACGGGAGCCAACACGTGAAGACATTTATTTTGCACTCGCGGTCCAATTTCATAAATACCTCTTACCATCAGGACAAGATGGCTCACGGTTTCCACTTCCAGGTGGGACTTGGTTTTGAACAAGACAATGTCGCCACTCGGTGAATGCACTAAGCTTTAACGCCATTGTAAGGATCCATACATAATGAGTGCCATCTTGAACAGCGTAAAATACAAAATTGAACGTGCTGGAGATAAGAGAGATGTAGTTTCGGAAGACCTCGTTAGCAGTTTAAAACCGAATGTCCCAAATCAACCCGCATGCGACCACGAGGCAGAGTTGGTTAATACGCAATGACATCAACTCACTTGAGTATGATAAGCAGATGATGACACTTGTTTATTTCTGCCTTATGCATTCTTACCACTGTTTGCAAGAAACCAGATTGACTTAAACAAAATGTTGAAAGTAAACAAAACGCATTTTTAAATAAACCTAAAGACGAAATTCGTTCATTGAAGTTTGATCGCTAACCCACTATCTCTGATCAGTGAGTCACTGCTTATGTCGGTAAAGATGGAGGGTTGGTCGTTGTAAATCATGTTATTTGTTAATTAAGTATAAATGTCCTTCCAGATAAGGATCGATAAGAAAAAGTGACTGACTTTTGGAACAGTGACAGGGAAACGATGCTGCAACTCCAGCGTAGACATTAAGAGATGAAGGTCCCATTTAGCAAACCAGTGTATCATACAAATCAGTCAGGGAAGAAGCAGATAGTAACAATCATCTATTGCAGTCGGTCTTTCTGTGGGGAAGATCTGTTGAATTGATCTACGAAAGTACCCAATAATGGTCTCACCATCACAACAAGATATGAAGTGGGGAAATAATTAAAATTTCAAATATCAAATAACACTTTTCATTCATTCTAGAATTCGTAATTCCTATGAAGTTATTTGAAAATTTGGGGAGGGGGGAATCAGAAAGGAGTAATTTATTGGTAGACAGCACAGTTGTAAACTAGTCGCAAAAGCTAATCAATAAAGATGAATCAATTCGATTATAGATAAGAGCATTATCCAGAAGTCCAACGACCGAAGGAACTGGGGCTTCTTGCATAATAAGATTGCTCTTAAACCCACCACCATTACTTGTATAATTAAGTTTAAAATGGAGAAACCAATCCAAGCGTAGCTGATGCTTGGACCCAATTTGTCTTCAGAACCAATTATTTTGTCGTGTTCATATTGGATTCCAGCAAGGTCAATCACATTTGCATTATACAGGCCTTGCCATACCCTGATAGGGAAGTGATCGTGCCGTTACATAAGATGGCCACTATGTCTGATCCTTTGAAGTTCCCTTATGCTTTAGAAAATCTTAAGTAATACATTTTCTATACTTCTTCGAATATTACGAAAGCGATGCTTGAGCCTGAAGAAAGCAGAGTTTTTTAAGCACCCAAGCGTAGTGGGTCCTTGGTGCTAAAGCACTGCCAATGCAAGTACAATGTTTTGGTACTTAGCTACATAAGTCTTGACTAAACCTCGGCAATCCATTTCGCCAAAACTCCTGCCTACAATTGCTCCAAAACTAGCTCAACTTATCCAACAGAATTGAAGAATCAGAACATGTGAAGTGAATAACATTTATAACAGCTTAGACATTAAATTTGAATTAGGGCGACAATTAATTGCTGATTGGCTGACAGCAATTGCTCCCCTGCGCCAACACTAGCACGGCGCACCTTCAGACTCTTCTAGTACACGCCGGTAGTAGTTCAAAAATACAACATACTATTTTACGCGTTAAATTTCAATTTACTATTTACAAATTCTCATTGACTAAGCAAACAGGAGCTGAAAACGATTGACAATGCGATCATTCGGCATTTGAAAGCATAATAAGTTTTTGGTCAGCATTGTAAAATCTGTTTTCGTGGTGACTATATCAATTAAATATTCGAATACTGGGATGCAACTTATAGCACTTATGATCGCTAACTTGGGGCTACTATTTTACAAGCCCGTGTTAATTCAAATACTTAAACTCAACGACGTGGCAGCCGTATAAGCCTTAAATGCATTTAATACTGATATTATTAACTCACTTGAATTACAAGAAATAAGGTTTATTGTTAAAAGAGGGCAATTTTTTATATTAATGAAATAAATAGGCAAATTTGTTTCATTCTCCATCTCTTAACTTGTAGTTGTGTGAAATACAATGCTAACGTGGCTGAAATAGGTATTCTCACGAGCCCTAGAGCATTCTGGAACGGCGGCGTGATACTGATCGCTGCTGAAGGACATGACTCATCGTGAGCGTAGAGATCCCTCACTCTCAATCAACGATAAATATGGTCAGCCATGGTCAGCGTAGCCAAAAATTATATTTACTAGCTATGCGCCATGTCAGTGGCACGTAATCCAAATAACTGGGCTTCATGTCATACGCTCCGTCGTTGAGATAGCTTAGTTGATTTCGGAAGTCAAGGCATATTCGTGTAGCAATTCGTTACAAAGTCAATCTTGGTCGAATTATGACCAACATATTGTTTATTTCGATTTTGATGAAAAAAATAACAAAAGGCCTAAGCACGAATAAATAAGAAATGAACTAGGTCATAGAATGTGGTGATAAGGATAGTTGGAAGAAATTTAAACTTTTTTCATTAATACAAATTTCTGACAGGTGTTTGTGTTGCTCACTTGAATGTGGTTATGCCCCATAAGAATTATCCATATAAACCAATATGTGTCCCTTCAAATAATCCTATAATAGGCTACTGCAAAAATCAATTGAAAGGCATATTAATTAGATACAACAAACAACATAGTTCATTGATTGAGAAGCTAAAATTCCTATCCAGCAAGTAGAAATTAAAGCCCTTGAAAAACCTAATTGAAAAGAAAAAATTTAGCAGTGCCGTATTATCCGATATTGTAAAGTTCTATTTAAATCAGATCTGATAAAAAAGAAGAGGAAAGGGATATTTCCCTAGATTCGTTTTAGTTTGAGCATGACTATATGGGAAAAAACATAAATTTTGTTTTTCCTTTTACATTTTAAAGTAGAAGCACTGTACTGATCAATGTGGCCTGGCATGCACTTGCGAAATTATAAGGACGGGAAGTCCAGATACAGAATCATTGAAAGCGAATTCTGCATTCCAAAGTAATATGAAGTCTACGAGACTTAATTGCTTTGTTAAAAATGTCACCCTAGAAGCTTATTATTAGCAGTCTATATTGGGTTATTTTCTTTTCAATACGGATTGATCAAAGTCGATTTTTCGCTTAATTTTAGTGAAACGATTTTCTCACCTCTCCTTATTTATGAATACAAAGAGCAAATATGCTGGCAGTTAGAAATACCCATTATTAAAGTCATAAAAATCGTGAAGTCGATAATATAAAACATGTTAAAACCTTTTTAAATGATGCATTGATCATAACGCTTAGCTAGCGACTCTGTGGAGGCAATTTTTTAGTTACATTTTGGAAAAAAGCTACGCACTCTCATTGATAATCGTCATGGTGACATGATCTAAGAGATGTAGGGTTTCAAATGGATAACTAAATTGAAGTTCAGATTAACTGTTTCAGTAAATCTCTTTCATACAGTCATAAATGGAAAGTGTGCGAAGAGAATAACAGGCATGTGGTTTAAATAAGTGAGATTAATACTGTCTTAGAAGTATTTTATGGAAACCAGAACTCCACGCAATAGATCATACGTGGCATAACTTATTTATTTTACCAAAAAATACAATAATAGGGATAAACAATGTGATTAAAACGAGCTTTAAAATTCAAAGCGTTAAAATAAAAATATAATTTATTATTTAAAAGTTTTAATTAATACTTACAAGGAAAATGCGTAGGTTTTGACAATAATGTTGATGATGCTGAAGAAACAATGATGATATACCGAACTTTGGTGCTCCCATTGGTTCTTTGTTGAAGTGTCAGGCTGTTTGTTGACCAATGTCTGGGGATAGGTTTAATTTTGATGAGACTGGAGATACTTTCTATTGCTTTACAATAGCCATATTTACAGTTATCTTATTACCAGCTACCTATTTTTTATGGCCTAAATGTGAATCCAAGCTTCCATACGATGTTATAAAGAAGCGTTGCCAATGTGCTGCTTGCCAAGCGAAGCGTTCGAATTTACGATCAGGTTCTAAAAACAAGCTGTTGAAACGGGGAGCAGTGTAAGATTTATTTAACATTTAAACACAATTCGATAGAAAAATTGCCATAATTATTGCTTGGGCGTTTCTTATTGCTCTCTGTTTCAAGTTATCCAAATTTGAAGTTTCTACGCCCAGTTTTGATCCTTTTCTTGAGCTTGAAATTGATCAGGTAACATGAAATACTTTGTTTTATTTAATTTTGCAGCATGCTACTAAATTAGAAATTAAAAAAGCTTACAAGAGGCTATCTCTTATTCATCATCCTGACAGGGGTGGAGATGAACAGAAATTCATTCAGATTCACAAGGCATACATTACGTAAATAGTCGCTTTTGGCGTTTAATGCAAAACTTGTTCTATTTTAGTCTTACCGATGAAGTAGCGCACAGAAATTGGCAGGAGTACGGGAACTCGGATGGACCTGGTGGTATTATTCCCATTATTGCTCATTTCCAACTTCTTGCTTCCGCTTATCAAACCTTTTTATCATAGCTATCAATTTTGGCATGGCTCTTCCAAAATGGGTGATCAAAAAAGAGAATACAGTGATTGTCGTTGGTGTATATGCCTTGGTATTCCTCCTTATGTTACCCATTGTCGTAGTGAGTTTCATCTCATTTTTAGACCCCATGTTTGCCTTTTACTTCTAATGTAAATAATTGTTTTAATTTTCAGGGTTGGTGGTGGTCGAACTCCAAAAAATATAGCAGCACTCAGGTTTTGCTGATTACTATTCGACTCTATTGTGGAAGCTTTATGTACAACCCATTCATGGCTGTTCCTCGTATTATTAAGCTGCTTTCCTCATCATACGAATTTAACAGTCAATTCAATAAGAACATTGTTTGCCGGCCTAGTGACAATATCGAACTACCTCCAGTAATGTTACTATGCAATTCATCCTATTTCAAATCCGATTTTCATTTATTGTCACCAATAGCGATGTACTTTATTGGCTGATTCCTGCATTTTTGTAGGAGTAAAAGGTATCACTAATTTGCTTCGTGCAAATATTTTCGCTTTTCTAGTCGATTTCGGAAAAATCACGTTAGGCTGCCTGATTTCGAGCTCATATTGCTTATACATTTTCCCACGAATCGGAATCATCATTACGGCTTTTCCTTGGGGCAATTTGATTTTTTCCATTTAGTAGTTATTCTTTATTTATATCATTCGATTCGATGGTAGCATCTGTCTTTTAAATTTCTTCTTTGAGATTTAATTCGGCGTTTTGCCGTTATCATTGTTTTGAATAATTTTTTCATGTTCTAATTTAAGAGTATTAATTTAATTTTGTCATTAGTAAAGATGCATTGCCACTTATTGTGTATTTATCAGAATACTTATCCGTTCAAAAGATTGAGACTTTTTCCTTGCGAGTTTAATTTCTTTTTACATGAATACAATACTACGGCAAGTTGATCCAGGTGAAAGTTGCTATCTTTTCGGCTACATTTGCCGGCTTATGTTACTGCTATTATTAGTGTCATTGCCTTGTCTTTTTATTTCCAATGACGTTAATGTTTATTCCGATTGATAAAGAAAGTTTCATTAAAGTTGCCTGTTACTCTAATTGTTTTAGGATTATGAGCTATGCCGTATCAAAGTAGTTGAGATATCTATTTATAGAAGGACTCTTATATGACTGGCTTACAGAATTCCCTCATAATTCTTGTCTGTTGGTTCATTTGCTTTATTCTTTTTTGTCTGTTTAATAGTTTTCGATCTGACATCTGACCAATGACGAAAGCGACACTAAAGTCTAATATTTCTGCTTAGACCAGGGTGTAATTGCTAGGGTATCGGTTTGAAGTTCGTAATAACGTGTTTTTTTCGTAATGCAAATCCTCAGTAGAAACTTCGAATTTCGGCTCACTGACTTACTAAAATTATTGACAATTTTTGCTTTTGACATTTAGCCATTATTGAATTTCTCAGATGGCTATTGAAAAAATATGTGTACATATTAAATACCACTTGACTCGTTACTTACTCTCAGAGTTAATTTTATATTTTCGTAATGTTATACTCTACAAAAAATGAGGTAGATCATCTTAGCTAGTCGTGTTTTTGATTAGCTATGATTGCAACAGACGAAAGTCAAATGTTTCTAGACAGTGGTGGGATCCTTTTTACCATTAAGATATGGATGATTGGGGGGGTGTTTTGCATTTATGTGTATTGTTAAATTTTCTTCCATTTCTGGATTATATTTATGTACCTTTGTCGTTTACCGCTTATTCATTGGTGTTGACAGTTGGTATACTTTTTTATTCAGTTGCTAGCTTGGATTGGTTAACCTTCCACAACAAGACGAGAGAAAGGGAAGAATAAAGTGGATGCCACTTGGCATGACTTTAATAACGGTCATTACCTGATTATAATAGTCCTGGGCTAAGTCTTGAAGAATCGAATTGTGGAGTATCATAAACCATTAATATGAAGTTGAATGTAATGTCCTGGGTAACCTAGTTAAAACACATGGTTTTAAAATTATAATCATTTGCCCATGAACGGTTGGTACTTCAGGCTCATCTTGGAATGCTTTACGCCTTTTAATATCTCCATAATCTAGAAATCATTATTTTTCATCGCTAGACGTGATAACAGTTGACGCAGTCTATTTTGTCTTCAACAATGTGAAATGTTGATTTTTTTAATCCTCGTTCTTTCAGCTAATTAGCCAAATACCGATGTTTACCATCTTCAAACGAGCCATCGTGGGAGCTCCCTATGCAATCAAGGCCCGCGCTCTTATCTACGCGCACATGCTTCGTCTCGAGCTACCTCCAAAGTCTCTCTTCCTCGGTTAGTTTCCTCATTCAAATACGCGTACCAATTAGCCTGCTTGCTACTTATTTAACGAACGTCGATTCCACTTCAACCGCATTAACTCCTTGATTGTTATCTTCACAGCTATTATAAATCACAGTTAATTGTTTATGTTTAAGCTGTTTAAGGAATTAATCTTTCCTGGTGCAATTGTTCGTCAAGTAACAGTTCACTTGCTATGTTAGACTAATACTCGCCAATTTTTATTCTTACGTAGACCAGCAGTATATAATTGCCCAATGTCCTCGACTCCTTGAGGAGATGATCAACAGCCTCCTTATTGTCTTATCTATGGCTTCAGAGGATCGTAAGTCATATTTTTAACTAATAATTATTTTGATTTGGTACTTTCTATACATAGATAAGGTACGAGGGTGAGTCAAAAAGTTCTCAGACAAATGCCCACAGCTTTAAATGTAACAAAGATTTACACGTTCAAATATGTCTTTAAAGCTTCTTTAATACCATACAGCTGTCGGATCATTCTCTGTAAGGTCAGATTGAAGACAGGTTGTATCACAAAATAGCTATCAATTTTTAACCCTTCAAATGGCAAGTTCTGAGATCAAGACTAACAGAAAACTTCGCAACTAAGCTGAATTGGGTACCTGTCCAGATCATAGGGGCTTCATAGTAGGTTTATGGTGGGTCTGTACCATGTGGAGCAGTCATTAATGATTGGATTGCACACTTTCTAGAGAGAAGAATGCGATTTTCTTCAGGAGTTGTCAGGGCTCTGATGCACAAATTTCGATAGGCAACATTTTTACATCCTTCATGTAGTCCAGCAGACTTAGTTCCCTCGAACTTTTCCAAAACGACAAGAACACCTTAAATGCACTCGACTTACTTCCTTAGATGAAGCGAAAAAAGCATGCAATTTCATGGTGCCAGAGACAGCCTTCAAGTTTCTGTCATGAAGGAATTTACAGGTGGAAATATTAAATAAAAGGTGTACAGACAACAATGGAGGCTATGCAGAGAAATGAATGTTATCACTTGTTAAATATACAAATAATGGATTTTATCTGAGAACTTTTTGACTCATTCTTGTATCGAAGTTATCATGAAATACCTTGAGTGAACTATGATGAGTTCTGCTCTTTTGATTTTACAACGTACCTTATTACGTTTCTTAAGAAAAAGTCAAAATTTACCCGTTGCCAATCCTAGTTAAGGCCAAATAAAAGCTCTGTAGATCCAGAAAATGGGCGTATTTCGGTTAATTAGGGTGTGACCTCTAATATCAAAAAAATGAAAACTTTTTTGAGTCAAAATTGCGTTTCACTACAACTTTTCGCTTCCAAAATCTCCATATAGTGCCTTATGAAAAAGTGGCGTCGATCGCAACTGGTATTATATGTAAATCGTCTTTTTTTCTGAACCAGGATATTTGATTCGGTAACCTTTTTCTTCTAAAGGACTTGGCTTCAACGTAGAAAACCCACAGCTAATCTCCCATCAGATCTCTTTTTCCTTCAGATTCTTCCCCATAAGCCATCCGCCTTCCTTTGTGTAGTAATTTGGAAGAGTTTAGATCCACTCTGCTACAACTTCAAGTTTCCCTTGGAGAACTATTGGGTATCCTTGAGGGCTTTATTTAAAAACCCGGAATGATCTAATTAAGTGGTTCTTGAGTGGGCGCTTTTAAGGTTCATTGATGTCCAGGAACATTCCATGTGTTTATGCTATTCCTTTTCTATGAGAGTAATTAAAACTTCCTTTACATAATTAGGCCTATAAAACTCTGTGTTTTGCTCTTGGAGCCATCGTTTGTTGCTTTTAAGTAGCCAATTGGTAGTTGTTATTCTCCGACATTGTAGGTCAAGAAGTTGATTATTGGTGTTATTTTTATGAATACCAAAATAGTGCAGATATTAAGTGGTTATGTAATTTGTGCCAGTATTGTAACGGCCAGTTACTCTTTTCACCCACCACATGAGCAGTTAATGGTTTGAAAGCCGATTCTAATTGTCTGTTTTCGGTTTGATTTGTTTTTAATAATTTTGCCATGATTAGTACTTTGCTTAAGCTATGAGCAACAAAACCATTATGATAGAAAGTTTGTTATGTTTGTTGCATTAATTACGTTAAACCTATCACTATTATTCTTAGTAGAACTTAAATCATAGAGTGCTTTTAAATAGCAGAGAAGATAACAACGATTAATTGCTTGGAAAGTTAAGGGTAATTCGTTAGCATTTCATCGAAGTGGCTTTTATTATTATTAAAAATTTAAGTGTATCTGTGCTAATACTTTCCTTTTTCGAGATCCTTTATTATCCAAATATTCCTAATGATCCCGTCACTTTTTTTCAATATTACTTTTACTTCAGTTAATTGAACAAACACTATTTATCTATGTATCGAGAAGTCGAGCAACACATTCCCTTTCTTCTTAAGGTGCTGGAAAGAAGAAGATCCCACAGATTCTGGCCAGTATGGAAAATTGCATGCACATCACCTCCCTCCTAGTACAGGCACTTTCGCCCACCTCCTCTGTGACACCACTTCTCCAGCTGCCCCACATCGGTCCCACCCAACTGCGTCAGATCACTCATGCCCAGCGCAACCTAAAGACGGCCCGCCAACTAGTCGCTCTGCCTGAGGCACGCCGACGAGCAGCTCTTGCCTGTCTCTCTGATGAGCAGTACCGAGACGTAATTAATGTTCTCTCCGGAATGCCTAATCTCACCATCTCCTGTTCATGTGCTGTCCTTGACGAAGACGACTCTTCCATTTGGCCGTTGTCTATGGTCACTGTGAACGTCAAAATCACCCGAAGACCACTGCTCAGTCGATTAGCTCCGAATGCGACTTCTAATGCTGCTGGTGGTGTGGTTGATGCGTCGACAGACTTGAGATGCACGGATAGAGACGCGTCGTGGTATCTCTCTGGTGTAGGTGCTGGTACAGCAGCCTCTGGATTTGATGATCTCAGATTCAACGGAGATATTCAGCAAGATATTGAAGATGGTTTGGAGGTACATATTTCATTCTTTTCATTAATGTGTTGATTTTAGTTCATTTAACCAATAATGGTGGTTGATGCTTAAGTGAGCCATTAAATTTTTCTCATTTGAACTGAAATTTTTACATTTTCTTCAACTACTCTGTCGTGGTCTTGAAATTAATTGGTGGAACATATAGAGTAGTTTGCTCGGATGGTGGAGTATATCTAATTGAAATGTTTTGAGTGATTGATTTTTTTCAGTTTTGGTTCCTTTTATACAATTTAAGCATATTTATTTTTGCACAGTGATGATCGCATATACTCCCCAGGTTTACTGATCACCAAATGCCCTATTGCATGTTTAGCGGACTCTTGAGATTTGGCTACCAAATATAAAAGCTTCTGCCAAATTGATAATTTTGACAAAATTAAAATATACGCTCGTGATATTCTAGGCTGAGGAGGACTTCTTCGAGAGTGGTGGTGGTGCAAATGGTGGAAAGAGCAAGCCCGTGGTGCCTGTGTGGGACAAGTCCCGTCAACGTGGTTGTAAAGGTGGGAAGGGCGGGAAAGGAGTCAAAGGCAAGGGTCGTTATAGCCAACATCAAAGGGGTGGAAAAGTACAAAAGCAGCAAGTTCCTACTGCTGCTGCGCCTAAAACTGCTAGCATCGTTCCTCCCATTGAGGAAGATATTGCTAATGATACAAATGGTACGTGTGTATTAATTTCCCATTGTCTACAGACGTGCTTTTTTGCTTTATTTTCATCATATATAGCTAGTCCCATGTGTACGTTCGCTTTCAACTATTTCATATATGGTACCTTTACCTTTCATGCGTACAGTCCATATTCGAGCTCTTATTGCATGCAGCATTTCAAAATGCTCAAGGGATGAAGGTCTTATGGACAAAGCGGAGGCCATTTCAATCTGGTCCAAGATCAAATTTGATTATTCTCTTCGCGTTCCTCAGTAAATGTAAGATTGAAATCTACGGACACGCTAAATCGCATCTTTTCCACGAACTGTTCGCTGTTTGCTGATTTGTTTATCCTAGATTGGCAACTTTTTTGTTATTAGCTTCATTTCATCAAGGCTACATTTATTGGAAGTTGTGGATGCTGGAACAATTTGTAGTTTTAGATTGATAAGAGCATTCAAATTGAGATGAAGCCTCGTCAGTGGTTCTCCGGGTCATAAATATGGTGGCAACTGGAAAATTTGTCGTCTCTTTGGTTTCTCGTTTTCATTTAATTGGCTTATAATGCTTCTTGGATTGCAGTTTCTCCACCTGTTCCAAATGGTGATACTCCAATTCTTGATCAGCCACCTCAAGAAATCACGGCAACACCTGAACAGAGTGAAGACAAAACAACGACAGAAAAGGGCGGGCTCACATATGATCTAGACGGCACTGAAGAAAAAATTGCTGCTGTTGAGGCGGAAGCTAGACGGCGCGAGATGAATCGAGCTTTGGAAGTTAAGCCTCACTGTAGCCATCTGGTTCACTGTCCACTCTTTCCACAGGTAAGAAACCAATAGAAGTTGTTACTTAAGTAGCTATAATTTAGTTATGGATGAGCAATTTTTATTCTTTGTTTTTTCCTAAAGAACCTACGCATTTGTGAGTGTTCTTTCTGTAACCTGATTAATTTGAGCTATGTACGGGGTAATTTAGGCATGATTTAATATCTAATCATTTGACATGATTCTCATGGAACATTTATATTCAAAATACTGTCTGGACGCTAATGTTTACTTCTATTCTCACTCCATTTTTAATGTTTACCGGTTTATTCAATGAGGCCTACTCGACACAATGCCCTCCCCCTCACTTTAGCCGTGTCGATCATAACTCAGTCCGACTCGTCTAACCTATCTACGGTAGAAAGTGTCTTTATTGAAGGAGCATATTGAATGCAACCTGATCTAAATAGGTTTTTATTACGAAACATCATAGAGGTGGCCTTGAAAAGCCAATATGAGGGGGGGGGGCATAATGTCTATTCTTTCTGTAGGATATATAAATAAAGGTGATAACATACAGCTGCCTTGACACCATGACTACAACCGCTCCCTCAGTAATGAATATGAATGTGAGTGTATGTCCAGATCTTGTCAGTAGCCACATTCCTCCCTTGTGTTCGACCTCTCCACTGGTCAATTGAGTGCTGTCGTGTTTGTTTCTGTATTTGCGCTGATGATGTTGCTGATTTATCAATCTCCTTGAGCTATTTCGATATTTATGAGTTTTACAAATGAAGATGTCCCTTTTCGTTGTACATATTTTGGAAGTAAATACATTATCCATTCATTATATTTGTGTACCTGTTTGTATGCACCGTGTCTAACGCGCATTTTGTTTTTACAGAAAAAATATGAAGGTTGGTGGATCTATTTAGTCGATCGTAAAATAAAACAACTCGTGACAAAACCAGTTTATATCAATTCACTAGAAACTGAAGAAGAGGTAAATCATTCTCACTCTCAAATATTGCTGCCCCAACGCCTATGCCCTTATAATCTATGGCTCATTGTAGCTCATTCTTAAGTTTGTGGCTCCACCTTCTCCAGGAAGCTATCTCTATACCCTTTGTGTTCGTTCTGACAGCTATGTGGACGCTGACTTCTTCGAGAATCTTCCTGTGAGTTTAAAAACTAAAATTGCATATTGAGACTAATGACTTACCCGAACTATCAATGCCTTTTTATACAATTTTTAGTTCACGGTGATGTCACTTCCAGATCATGTTTTAAAGAGCATAAAGGAGGCTGAAGCGCGACATCTTGAAGGTGGCTTTTCTTCATCATCCGAAGACGATGACGATGTTGAAAGTGAGGATGAAGAAGACGAGGACTTCCGGGATGGAGGGGATAGTGAAGGGGATGGCGCATATTTGACATAGGAAAAGTGAATTAATGAATTGTTGCTTACCCGTGTGTTTGTTTGACAGTAATTCGGAGGCAAATCGTCCCTCCTGTGTACAGTCAAATACTTTGTTCTTGAATTTCATTGTTTATTCCTTTTTATATATGGCATCTTTATTTGATGGAACTATTATTGGGTTTGGCATTCATGTGCCTCCAATCTTAGGCCAATCGTTATCGAATGTCGACACCATTAGTTGTAAATACTGATAAACTTGAATTGATACTCGATTTTTGCTTTTTAAGATACTTGGTATTATTTTTATTAGCCATGCCAGAGTAGTTTAATGTGAGTTAAAGGACGTAATGGAAGAGGCGTGGGATGCAAGGTCAATATATCAAGGGTCTTACAATACTTGAATTCAACCTCAACCCTGTGGATTAGGGTTCTGATAAGCAGCGTTTCAACCACCGTTGTCTCTTGATTTGAGTATCCATGCTTTTAGAGATAGGAATTGACACCGATATTTAACAAAACCATAAGAACCCGGCGAAGCCAAGGACCTTTGCTGTTTCGGAACTTTTGGTGTCTAAAATCGAGCCTTTCTTTGTTTAATCCTCGCTGTGACATTACCAGATGCAATCGTGGAGCTAGTCTCTTGCATATTCGAGAGTGTAATCCTGAGGTTGTACCCACGATGTTAAGAAGGGCCTTAAGTTTGTCATTGTCGAAACCTTTGGCACTATTACCGAAAAGCCAGAATATTGGGTTTGCTCTACGAAGGTCTTGACAACCCCTACTTGCTCATTAATTAAAATTTTAACCTGTTTCGGTGCTGCTAATGGTTGGATTATTCGTTTCAATCTTCTCCAAGATATTTACGAGTAATCGCAAGTCTATAACCTCATTCCTGGTGCACCAACTTTCCTCGACCCTGTTCGATCGTATCTTTTAGCTTAATTCATCTAATTGCCCACGTCAGATAGTCTGAATTTTAGCTGAGTAATATTTCTAATCCACAGAATCGGTTTACATTTGTACTCACTTCATTATACCTACTCTGATCGTAGACTTATTGTTGGCTTCGTTGGCTTGCTTTTCACAGGCAACACCTTTTTTAAGTCAAAGTTATTTTAATCTTGGAAATGTAACCATCATATCGGTGACTCACCTTGGTATCCAACAGTCTACGTCATAGTCTTCGACTTCCTATTTCTTCTGGTATCTGTTGAAATATTATCAGCCTTTTCCTCGGCCTTCGCAGTCGAAAGCTCTACACCCTTCCAAGAAATATAGGCTCTATCCCTATTTAAATTGCAGTGCTAACTTTATTTTCAAAATATACCTGTTCCCAGACGAATTGTCACTCTCTCTTTCCTACTATTTAAAATCTATAAGTATTTTAATACAGAGAAACGGATTCTGAATTTGGGGAAAATAATCTTTTTTTGACAACTAAGAAAGGCTAGTCATATTCAATTCTTCATTCTTGTCCTTGATGCTCGGTAATCTACTACGCAGTCTCTGCGCTTCACGCTTATCAGTATTTTGATCACTTCTCTGATAGGCGGTAGACGACTATCAGCAGCCATTGAAGAGTATATTTCTTCCATTCCTATGTTTGGCTTTCGCTCTGTTATTATTTTGACTAACATTTCGAGCTTTAAGATGTGAGGCCAACTTAAACGCGTATAAATGGACTAAATTCGTGGTTCAAATGCTCTAATCTACAGACAACACTCAAGAGCATTATTAGCTTTTAGATATTCCGCAATTTTGGTCGTGCTATTAACCAAACAAGTCCTCCTTTTGGGTTAAAATGACTTTTGCCAGCAGAATTCCCTTCCCATAGGGTTTGAGCATAAAGGGATCTTGTCCACATTTTAACAACAGCATTAGGTTTAGCTATCAAAAAAACTTCGGCAAGGTAATTTTTTCAAATTATCTTTGACTGAGTAGTAGGGTTATGAAGGCTTTCTTAAAATCGAATTTTGCCACACCCCGCACCCCCCCCACCCCCCCAACCTCTCACAGTATGCGCGTTAGTGTTCAATGAGTGCGTGACCTCTAACTCCGCAGACGATAAAATTTACCGCTGCGTTATTGACACTCCGCAATGATGATTCATACGGCTATAGCACTATCGATTTGTCATCTTTCAAGCAAAGTTGGGCTTGTTTAATTAATCCTTAAATGCAATAATTCCTCATCGTTCCAGAGTGAAGCTAAACTGGTTCGTCCGTATTCTGAAGGTTTACGAATCTGAGCACTAATGTAATTATATCAAGTGCTTTTAATTCAATTTCAACTCTTCCCTTCCAAGGAGGAGTGAACTTGTCCCTTCGAATGCTGTCCTTATTTCGTTGCATCGTCCCATCATGCTTCAATTGAAGTTGTACAATCGGATTATCATGACATGCTCAAATATGATGGTACCACTGCCTTCCTATTTCTAACAGAGAAGCAAAAATTGCCATAACTTTTCGCACAAATAAATTTTTTGATAGTTATCATTAGCCCTTCAGTTGACTTCAAGCCTCACAGTAAATCCGTCGCAAACCCCTTGCACAAAGAAATAACTATCAGCTTAGGAGGAAAAAAGCGCTCAGTGTGTGTAGGGGCCATAAAATTCAGAGAACTGTAAGAAATATCAGATCATTAGTGTGGGGTCTAATGGAACTTTTCTTATTTTTTATTAAGATAGGCTCTTCCTTACCGTCTAGTTTCTAACCCGTGAACATGCCTTGATTACAGTTGTTGAATAACAAGAGCGATGACATTAGGTCTCAGTTACTTCAGAACGGCTCATTAACTTAAAAGGTTGGAGAGCAAAACGATGTCAGACAGTTACTGTTTCGGGCCGAATAACTGTCTAGCTGTACCATTCATGAGCATGTCGTCGTTGATGCATCTGAGTTTTCTCAGCTTTCTTTCATTTTCAAAAGTAGGTGCTTGATAATACGAGGTATAGACTTTTTGTTGGGCTCATTACCCAATTTCGCCTACTTTCTAGTTGAACACCTGTTTAACAACTACCTGAAGTTACCTTAACCGACTCTGTGTCTAGAGACTTAGGGAAAATCCGCATACATTCCATGCACTTTCTTCTAAAACATCTATCTCCTTTTATTGAAATTGGTGCCACGGTGGGGGGATAGTAGGAGATGGCCTATGACTTAACATTCTATCAGTTGAAAGACCTGAATAGCTCCTTTGAAGGGTTATAACTATCCCTGGCAAGTGCTTGATAGAAATGGCTCTCGATAAAAGCAATCCAGGTGTATATCAGCGCAGATCTGGATTCACCATTTCTCCATGTAAATGATCACAAGGTTAATCGGATTAACTCCATTACTCACCTTGGCTTTCCAGTGAATAATAAGAGTCCAACTGATGATACTGCAAAACCAAATGTCATAAAGTTCGAAAGAAAAGCATTGGTGCTTAGATTTATTCCACTAACGGAAGTGATGTTGATTAAAACTTGAGCAAAGGTATTAGACAATTTTGTTGTACCATTCCTTCTGGCCGATTTACCCGTAGTTGTTTGCATAAGGTGGATGAAACTAGATTAAGGTTCGTTTGTAACACCGAAGGAAAAACGTTATTAGGAACGTAAATTAGGAAATAAATTCGTGTTTCAGTTGTAGCAGAGAAGTACATCCGAGATACCACAAAGCCGATGAACTTCCGGGTAAGATTTCACAAAGAAGATGATATAACAACTAAAAGGCTAGAAAATTCAAGTTAAAAAGAGTTGACCAAGGTGACTTCAAGCGAATGACAAACAGGCAAGGGGTAAAATGATAGTTAGATTCGAAACCTTACGAAGAATGCTATTCTCCAACTTAGAGTACACTAATCACGATGCACATACAACGGCAAGTATATGTGCAGACCATCGGTGTCAATGATATCATTCCAAAGGATGTGAAATGGGAGTCACTGGCGGGTCGATCACCGCCTATTTACAGATGATTTGGCTTCTGTTAGACTTCTTTGTCCAATAAGGTGGGTTCTTCGAGAATTATGCAAAAAGATTGAAGATCAAAATTTTATTGCATTTTTTTGCCTTTATTTTCCCTATGATGAGTAAATTGGTGAAGAAGAAGGATACGTCTGATAAACTTCAAATTGGAACAGTACTTCCTGAATAATAATAGAACATCATAACTCACGTCTACTATATTCGCTCTACACTTCCCTCTCACAACCGGCACATATTCCAACTTTATAACTTTTATTTTTCTCGTGAATAGAAATTATAAAGTTTCTTAGCCCAACCATGGAGAACAACTAGATACTCTGGGTATTACTGATTTGGAAAAAAGATACTCTAATCACTTAAAACTGTAAGTTTAATTATTCAATAAATTTACCAACTGGTATAATTGAGAATTCTTTCAAATAAATATGAAATAGAATCAGTTGCGAAAAATTAAAAGTTAAACGCCGATAGAACGAATCCGCAAAGAAATTTTTCCACTCAGTTAGCAACAAAAGACTGGCCAATTTTACTTATTTATTGCTCAAATACAACTTTTAAGATGGGAGGTGTGGGACACTTCATCAATGACCATTAGAAATCGCTAAATGTACTCGTGGAAACTAGAAACATCAAACTGTAGGAGGACATTTGTGTGCCAAAATATATCTCCTAAAGAAATTCTTGATCTTCTAAAAGGTTGTTATTGGATAACCGTTTTTCCCGAATTCATACATCAGTGGGGATGTGTGCAGATAATAGCTACTGTGTATAATAGGGAAGAGAGCAGGCAGACGACCCAATTCGTAATGCGCTAGTGCAAGTGCAAACCAGTAGTCGATATACCGGTGTGCTTAGGGAACATGGAGTGTTTTAAATGAAGGCGATGGAAAGTAAGAACTACATCGGCACATTTTGGTATTGCCTGACAGGTCAAACCCGATTGAATGACGAAAATAGGAATTCAATACGAAGAAGGTGTTAGTTGGGTTGACTACATGCAGGAATATAAAAATCTATGAGGACAGTTACAATGATAGCGCAAGTGTGAG